AAGCACACATGCCAGACTTGGATACAACTCTATGCCAAAAGACATTTTATCTTGCTTAACGGACTTTACAATGAGGTATAGAGGCGTTCTGAGGGTTTAATCCTTCCTTGCTCTCCTGAACCCAACTGTTATCAACCAATCATAGACCTTGTTTGACGAGGAGGTCCGTAATTGCGGCCTGAAATCTTTCGTTCAGCATCACTGGCCTTGCTTTACGTGTCTTTGTTTTCCTAAACCTACTATAATTATCAGCCAATTATAGACCTTGTTTTACGTGGAGGTCGGATGGAGGTATGAATTAATGAATGAAGAAGAGTCGTAGATGAGAGCTAGGACAACAGACGGGGTGTCTAGAAAACACAGACCTAGAAAACGCAGACCTAGAAAACACAGACCTCGCAATTTAAAACGAGTCTTAAGACCCACACATTTGATAAAAACAGTTTACGCATGGCGCTTATTTTCCCTATAGTTTATGGCTATTGGCGTGCCGACCTTAAGTATTCTTTGTTTTGGAATATAATTAAAAATGTAAAGCTTGTAGATCAACAAAGAAGCGTGCCGGTTCGACTGTTTCAAAGTCGGCACGCCATTAGCCAAAAACTATAGGGAAAGTAAGTGCCACACTTAAACTGTTTTCATTTCATGTGTAGGTCTTAAATAAGACTCGTAATTGCGAGGTCTGCGTTTTCGAGGTCATCGGTCCGTAATTAGCAAAAATCACTGACGTAATTATTGCACCATTATATATTTCATATATTTTATACATTTTTGTAGTTTTATATAGTTGTGTTATCTGTTACGTATAATTTCAATCTTTACATGGGCTGCTTGGGAATGTTCTAAGTTAAATGTTGTTAGGACCTCAAGTAGAAGCAAATTAATGCTGCCTAGTTGTCTGGACGATGCAGCCGTCCGCTGTCTTACTAACTTAAGCATTTAAATGTCCTGCGATCTATCGTTATTTAAGATTGTATTGTGCCTCGATGTTTTCGATGTAGTCCATTTCCTGTTTATAACGTAGTGAAACAATAACAACTTTACTTCCGTGACGATGGTTTTCCCACTAATGTAGTAACCCAATAGTAACAAACAAGTTAATCGGAAAAGGACTGAAGAATGGGCAAAGTGGCCGTTTAAGTGTTGATAAACTGCAATTTCGTGGTTTTCATTGTTGTTGTTGCTGTTCATTTACTGGTGTTTGTTTAACTAAGAAATTACAATTATCGTTTTACAATTTGCCGCTCCGGACCAAGTAATTGTGATTTTTAGTCAGCCGGTTTAGCCGCTTAAGAAGATGATGTGTCAGGGGCGGATCTAAGGGAAGGGTGCAGGGGTGCGCCCCCCCCTTTTGAGATGACCTGCGGCTTTCTAATACAACTGGTATTCTGAAAAAAAAAAACTATGTGGTTTATTGGTGTTGAAGTAGAGCAAGAGACGAGTGCACCCCCCCTAACAAAATCCTGGACCCGCCCCTGCGTGTGATGTATTCACTTCCTCTATGTTTTCAGTTTCTTTTGTTATCTCTTTTTTCAAGAAAATTCCAGGGCCTTCCGAACAATCTCCTTCACACCACTAAAACTACTCAGTCCATATATTTTATTTTGCTTTACATTTTTAATTGTATTCCAAAACAAAGAACACTTAGGGGAAAAGATAGAAACTACAAAAGACTGAGGCATTCCATCACGAAATCATAGATCCTAGACCAACGAAGGAAGCCTGCGTTTGACTGTTGCCTGTTCTTGTTGCCAGTCCAGCAATAGGTATAGCTATAGCTAAACGTCAAACGACCAAAAAAAAAAGCAAAGTTGGCACGCCAGTAGCCATAAACTATAGGGAACATAAGCGCCATGCGTAAACTGTTTTGTAAGTCTTAAGACTCGTTTTAAATTGCGAGGTCTGTGTTTTCTAGGTCTGTTTTTCCGAGGTCTGCGTTTTCTAGGTCTGCGATCTGTGGTCTGTGTTTTCTAGACACCCCAATAGATGTGCCCTCTTTACAATACATTTTTAACATGTGAACAGTAAGCTCGGACGTCAGCATACAAAGGCGCCACTGGGAGCCTCTCTCAGTAAGGTATTGAGGCGGACATGTTTTCGTTTTTGCTACTACTATAATTATCAACCAATCATAGACCTTGTTTTACGAGAAGGTAAAACGGCGTTCGGAGAGGTATTGTTGTCTTCGTTTTCCCAACCTACTATAGACCTTGTTTTACGAGGAGATACAGAGGCTTTCGGAGGGACTTACTTTACTCTTTATTTTCCTAACACTACCTATAAACCATTCATAGTCCTCGTCTGAGATCAGCGCACTTCCGTCACTTCATATTCATACGCACTTCGTTTTTAGAAAAGAGCCCATTTCTGAAACTGAATGTGCTCTGATTTACGTGACATATCTGAAGTGATCTTAGACGTCCGTCAATTTATATTATCTTAGTCAGTCTAAAAGATACTTTGAGAGGTCGCCGTTTCTGTCCTCCTGTTTCTCCTGTCG